TTTTTCTTCATAGAACCCAGCTTCTCAGATGATTTGCTCAGCATACAGGTTGAATAAGAATGGTGAAAGAATATAACCCTGTCAAACACCTTTCTTAATTTTAAACCATTCAGTGTTCCCATGTTCTGTTCAAACAACTACCTCTTGGTCCAGGTACAGAGTCCTCATGAGCACAATTAAGTGTTCCGGAATACTCATACTTTGCAATGTTGTCCATAGCTTTGTCATGAGCCACACACTCAAAAGCCTTTGTGTTTTCAATAAATCATAGGTAAACATCTTTCTGGTATTCTCTGCTTTTAGTCAAGATCCATCAGACATCAGCAATGCTATTCCTCGTTCCACAGCCTCTTCTGAATCCATCTTGAACCTCTGGAAGTTCTCTGTCAATGTATGCTTGCAGTCGTTTCTGTATTACCTTTAGTAAAACTTGACTTACATGTGATATCAAAGATACTGTTCTATGATTTCCACATTCCTTTGGGTCACCTCTCATTGGAATGGGCACAAATACGGATTTCTTCCAATCAGTCAGCCAGATAGCTATCTTCCAATTTCTTGGCATAGATGAGTGAGCGCCTCCTGTGCTATCTCCCTTTCTTGAAAGATTTCCATCAATTCCTGGAGCCTTGTTCTTTGCCAGTTCCTTCAATGCACCTTGGACTTCTTCCTTCATTATCATTGGCTCTTAATCATAAGCTACCTCTTGAAATGGCTGAACATCAACAACTTCCTTCTGGTACAGTGACTGTGTATTCCTTCTATCTTCTTTTGATGCTTTCTGCATCACTCAACAATTTGCCCAGAGAATCCTTCAATAACGAAAAGTCAAGGCTGGAATCTTTTCTTCAGTTCCTCCAGCTTGAGAAATGCTGAGCGTGTTCGTCCTTTTTGGTTTTCTGACTCCAGATCTTTGCACTTTGTAATATTTGACTTTGTCTTCTAGAGCTGACCTTTGAAATTTTCTATTCAGCTCTTGTACCTCCTCATTTCTTCCATTTGCTTTAGCATCTCTATGATGGAGAGCAAGTTTCATTGTCTCTTCTGACAATCATTTTGATCTTTTCCTTCTTTTCTTGTCTTCTTAATGACTTTTTGCTTTCTTCATGTATGATGATCTTGATGTAATGTACTACTACCAATAAATTTCCAATGACTTTGAAATTTGTAATGTACTGGTATGACATGGTAGGATAAGCACTGGACTACTAACAACAAGGTCAGTAGTTCAGACCTACTAACCGTTCCTTGTAAACTCTATACAGAGAGGCTATGAGGCAGAACTGACTCAATGGCACTTAACAGCAAAATGGTGGTGGTGGTGTGCCATGGAGTCACTTCCAACTCATAGCGAGCCTGCATAGGGTTTCCAAGGCTGTAAGTCTTTATGGGAGCAGAAAGCCTCATCTTTCTCCTGACGAAGAGCTGGTAGTTTTAAACTGCTGACCCTGAGTTAAGCAGCCCTACTAGTAACCACTATGCTACCAAAGCCCCTTTAATAACAACATTGCTAGCTATTACATATGTATATGTGTGTGTGTGTGTGTGTATATATATAAAAATAGGAGGTATATATGTGTTCTACCACAAGCCTATGGACTCTTGGTGAGGCACTGTAGGATCAGCAGTACACTGTGAACCAAAAGGTTGGAAGTTCAAACCAGCTGCTCCTCAGAAACCCTATGAGTCAGCACCAACTCAGTAACACTTAACAACAACAACAACCACAAGCCTGTGATATTTGATAAATGTTTTTTGTTTAACTTATCTGTTAAAATACAGACCTATAATAGAAACAGTCCTGGTGTGGCGCTGTAGATTAAGCACTGGACTGCTAATCACAAAGTCAGAGATTCAAACCCACCAGTTATTTATCTAACCACTTCTCAAAACCCTATATAGAGTCACTATGAGTTGGAAATGACTCCATGGCACTTAACAAAAAGAACATAATGGAAACAGTATCACAAAGAAAAAAAAACATAATCATATTTCTAGTAATGGGAAATATAAAAACAAAGGGAATGTAAAAGTAATGTTCTCCCATGTAAACTATCACATAATTCACAATAAAACTTTAAAAAAAAAAAAAGGGACCCAAATAAAATCCTGATGCATGCTACTACATGGACGAACCTTTAAACTGTTCAGAGTAAAATAAGTTAGCGACAAAGAACTGCTTCCACTTATAAAAATGTATGACCTATACATTTGCTTATATACTAACATAAGCAAATGCATAGAGCCCAAGGTTTGCTAGTGGTTACTTGGGATAGGAGAAAAGGGGAG